AGCAGTGTTTGAGTCACTCTCTTGGTTTAACTCTGAGAGAGAGAGAGAGAGAGAGAGAGAGAATCTGATAAGAGGAACACAACGTAAAGCAAGACTGAGCATGGGGAAAACACACACACAAAGAGACTCTTAACAAAGCAGCATACAGGCAATAGCATTAGTTTGATTGACATGTACGTAGAGCTGCAACAATGAATCAATCAGTTGCCAACTATGAAATGAATTGCCTAGTTTCATAATAAAGTATTCATTTTAAAGCCTGATTTTAAATTCTCTGATTTCAGCTCCTCAAAAGTGAGTATTGTCTGCTTTCTGTAGTCCTCTGTGACTGTAAACTGAACATCTTTGTGTTGTGGACAAAACAAGACATTAGAGGACGTCACCTTGGGAAACTATGACCAAACAACTAATTGAGAAAAGATTTGCCAGATCAATCGATAATGAAAAGAATTGTTATTGTTGTAATTGTTGGTTGCTGTTTGAAATAGTTTGTTGCCTCTACAGGTATCTTGAAGTTGACTGCAGAAGCCCCAACTGTTAGATGGTAATGAATTATAACATTGGACATAATAAGCCCCGGCATCAAACGCATCACACAACTAATGCCTGTGTTGAGCCAGCGAGGCGCCTATTAACTACAGTGACAGCGAGACGTCTGTGTGGGACTCAGATCAGTAAGCTACATCGATCACATTGTAAGTTCTGTTCACCATGACAACACGAGTCTACATGTTTGGGAAGTTGAAATCAGTCAGAGTCAGGTGTCACTGCACTGGAGGTCAGACATCAGGCACACGTTGGAGGAGTTTGAACACTTTTCTTGTTTTCTTTTAGCCAGTGGAGTCTGCATGGAGTTGAGTAGAAGTCTAAAGCTCGTACTAAGCAGCTGCACTTGTATCATAAATAGCTGTAACCCATGTGTGGATATGTTTGTATGACTTTTTTAAATTGCTTGAGTTTAATGCGATAAGTTCAGAGGCCCTTTGACATCTAAAATAAGCAAACTGCATTGTTTCCACTCTTTGACCACACTCACCCCTACAGCTGGATATGATAACAGTGGCTTGCTTACAGTATAAAGTGATGTGTATTTGGCTGGCATTGTTTAATGGATGACTATCCACTATAAAGTTTGCCTTTATCCACTTCAGGTCAAAACTGTGTGAAAGTATGCACTGAACAGCTGTATTATGATAGAAGAAACCAACAAAAGCATAATACAAATCCATTTAGAGAAACTGGACCAGTCTGTATGACCAGACACTCGACATTTAAGGAACCCGGCCAATATCTAGGGATAACTTGTCACTGTTAAGCAGCTTCCTCAAGTGCTACCACGAGTTGTGACGGAGTCTCTCTCTCTCTCTCTCTCTCTCGTGTCTCAGCTGCAGCAAATATGTCAGGAATCCTCAGCCGCCACTCCCCAAGGCCTAGGTGTCAAACCTCTGTTAACAAGATAGCTGGTTTCCTTGTGTGTGTGTGTGTATTCTTCATTTTTTCTCTTTTACTCCTTTCCGTCGTTTATTTCTTACTAGTAGGGTTGGGTGCTTCTATATACTGTCAGTACTGTTACATGTGAATTGATAGCAGTACATGGACTGTGGTAGCGGTACCCAGTGGTAGCTCTTTTTGGTACTCCACTGTCTCCTGTTATCAGGTCAGTTTCTCACTGTGTACAGGCCTGTGGCTAACGCTAGTCAAACTGTAAGCTAACGGCAGCCAGCCGTGAGAGCGGCCCAGTTATCTCCACCAACACCGATCACACTAGCTGATGAATGACCTGAGGATGTGGATGAAGCAGTCGATGGCTGGCCTGCAGCTGTGGCGAGGGAGTTTGCGTTGGGGCCGTCGAACACCGTAACGTACACTCTTCTCCCTGTAGATATATTCTGTGTTTGACAAAGTGCTTCCACAGGTTACATGTGTTGCCCTGCTCAGTTTTGCATTACAAAGCTCTTAAAGCTACTCTCTCTCTCACTTTCTCTCTTTACTCTCTCACTTTCTCTCTGACCCAGATGCGCTCTCAGGTACTGAAATGTTGCGCCGATTGATTTAACAAGAAATGGAGCTCTGTTGTACCGACGGGATTGGGTGTTTTAACAGCCTCGTCACAGACACTTTGACTGTGTTTTCCCCTTGGTGCTGGTGCTCTGTAAACCTGTGGGCAAAGCCCGGTCACCTGTCAGGAAGTGACGCAGCAGTGTGTTTGGTACTGGTCCAAAGATTGTCTCTGTACGTTACAAGAGGCACTGCACTGTTCTTTATCTTCATATCCCTCTGTCAAAGCCACTGTAGTCTGCTGTCTAGAAGCAGCAAGTTAAAGGCTAAAGGACTTGTTGTTTTTGTCTTGGGGATGTTTCATCACTCATCCAGCAAGTTTCACAAGTCTTGAACTTTGTCCCCATCATTATTACTGTGCTCAGTGCTCAGAACTGCTGGTTATACAAAGAGCAGCTATATTGTCATGCCACATGCAAAGTGAAGAACAACTAGTGATTTGAGTACCCATGACACTGTTGAAGTGCTCAGTGTCAGCCTAGATGTGTATCAGACCTCTCACCTAGAGTTCAGCTTAGGTCTCCTGAAACGCATTCATTTCCACATGTGTGAGCTGTGGAAACATGCCATGTGCATCTAATGTCATGCAAATAACTGTCGCTAACTCTGGACACGTCTTTAGTATTTTTAAGACTGCAGTGAGGTGCTGCAGACGTCCAGCACTCCTCCTTCTCTTGCATCTCATCTCATGCTTGTACAGTCTTTACACTCTCCTCATCGTCTGCTTGACAGCACACCATTTAGCGGATGCACTTCTGGCCAGAGCTCTTAGCTTTTTGACCTGTTTCTGCATTTGTGGCAGGGCTACAGAACAACCGCTGCTGCTGGGCCCCAAGATGCTGAGACGTTCAGACTGGACTGGAATGAAAGAAAATACTAAATAAATAAATCCTGCCTGTAACGTTAGGTCCGGTGGTGTGTGAGTTCTCATTTTCGCTATATAGAAGAATGTGAGTACTCCTCTGCACAAATGACCCCAATATAGGTCTGCAATTAATCCTTCTTCCGATCTTTCAATGAACTGATTGGTTGTTCAGTGTTTCCCAAAGCTCAAGGTGAGCTTTTCCTCAGATGTCTCTTTTCGTCCACCACCTAAACATATCCAGTTTGCTGTCATGGAGCACTAAAGAAACCAGAAATGATTCACACTTTTTTTTTCTTAAAGTAACTCAACAACAATTCATAGATTATTAAAACAAAATGAGTTAATTTCCGAGTTGATGACTAACTGATTAATCAGCTAATGCTGAACTCTACACCAGTAACAGCATGTAAGCATCATATTGTACTGTTGTACAGTCTGACATCATGTTGGCCATGACTAGCAGACCTGCTGACCCATATGCACACTTGATACATTAACACAAAGGTTGCCACGGAGACATGCATGCAAGCCAGCTAGCTTCCTGCTTTAGCAATGAAAGCAGTTGGCATTTAACAGTCATTTATTCTGTTAGTTGTACATTCTGAAAGACACACAGTGCATTTAGTTTGGCTGGAAAAGCTTAATAATAAGCCAGTATTGATATCACAGACAGTTATGGCAGCGCTGGATGAACAAAGTCCCTCTCCAACCTCAGCACAAGCCCCCGAGGTAAACCCTGACTGAAGGCCCTTGTGTGATCTGACCTTGGGTTGCTGTAGTCCAGGTTACCGCTGTTGTTAGCCGGGTTTTCACTTTCATTTCTCAAGGAAACTCTCCGTTTTTCCCTCTGGGCCACTTGTCAGGAGAAATATTTGACCATAACTGGCAGGAAGTTTGCTCCTGCTGCGCACACACACACACACACACACACACACACACACACTCTCACGCACACACTCGCACACACTCGCACACACGCACGCACACACTCACACAAGCCACCTGTACGCTGGCTGTTTTTGGCTGCGTTTAAATGCATTTAGAAAGGCATTTCCTCCGAGGAACAAACCAAGAAGACTTTGTCCACTGCCCCACTGCTGGTATTTCACAGGCCGACACCATCACTCACTGCACTCATTCAGCAGCAGCAGCAGCAGCCACAGTGAGTGAGAAAATGCCTCACTCCTAGAGACCATCAGAGTTCATCTATGTATTGCTTGTCCTCTCACATATTAAGAGGAGGCATTTTGTACTCAACCCACATTCCCACCCCCAGAGCTCAGCCTCCAGAAAACCCCATAATCTAAAAAGGTTTCAAAGGTTTCTGTTGAGGACATTTTGTGGAATCTGCTACATGTTGGAAATATAGTCATCCAGTGCCATTACAATAAATGTTATAGGACAAACCTTTCAAGCTTTTCAGTGAGAATTAGTCCAGTTTTGGACAAAAGCAGCGCTGTAGTGTTCTTCCTAGTGTGTTGAGACTGAAAAACGTGTACATTGACAGAGACGACCCTCATCAGTCTGCAAGAGGGTGACTGCAGACTGATGAGGGTCGTCATCAGCTCTCACTGCTGGTGAAAACCCCACAGCGGCTGCCATTTACAGTCATTTAAATGAATGCTGAATGTTGGGAATGTGCCCTTACACAGGATTGGAGGCTAAAGGGGCAGTTTTTAATACATGTTCCAAAAAATCACTTCCTTCCTCCTAATGTAATGTTGGTCGGACTAAACCATTTCTTCATTTTGTGTTGCTTTTCCTCCACTGAAGACCACAATAGGAATCATTGAAGGAACACTGCATTAGCTGCCGTCTGCATCCAAAGCCTAACGTATAAGTAAGTGTATAGCAGTGTGTTTGGAAGTGAGTTCCTCTGGCAGGGCGTGTTTGTGCGGTTGCTGGGGCGCCGTGATCTGTGTGGTTGCAGAAAGTCCCTCTGCTCCACATCCAGTCATGTGGAAGACGAGGAGCGCGCCGTATGTTGCACTACCTTAACAGAGTACGATCGTGCCTGCCAGCGCGTGCCTCTGTTTACGGCAGCAGATCATATCTCTTCCTGTGGTTATACGCACTGGTAATCCCAAATGACTGTCGGGGGTCTCGGCCGCGTTGTTTATTTGAGTGTTGCTCGTGTGTCGTAGACTGTTGCTTGCAGGGTACGGTGTGGAGCGTGAATATAGTGTCACCGTCAGCTGATCTGCAGTGCTGCTGGGAATGTGAGTGGGTTTCAGTTAGAAGCGGCTGGACAGCAGCTGGGCTCAGTGTGACAGACACTGACAGGAGATTAGTGTGACTCGCCACGCTTGGAAGTATATTAAGCTCAAAGTGGTTTCACTTCCTCATTCATAACGCCTGCTCGGTCTCCACCAATCCGTGGCTGAGAGAGTTTAACATCCTGTCCATACATGTGCTGGATGGTGACCATGGTGGGACCGAGGCAGGATTAAGTGTCTTTGGTGGTCTGGTGCTCAGTGAGAGCTGGGCTCCTGCAGAGGTGTGTATGAGCTGACAGAGCTGCTACAAGTGTCCTGTCTAAAATGAAACTTTTAGAACACCTGTCTTCTGTGTGTGTGTATAGATGTGTATTTATTTCTTTTTCATATATCAACCTGCTGCACAGTTTCAGTTCTGCAGCTGCAGAATCAGCTGCCAGAAGACTAGTTGGCACGTCCTCATCTGACTGTTGAAACTGCTCTGAGATCATCCAGAGAGGCATGCAGAGGAGTGAGGTCTTAACCTGAGCTTTCTACAATTCAAGGACACAGTAAGCAGACGTTAGGGAATACATCAAAGTGTCAGAAGTGACTTTTTAAAAGAGGGCTTTGTTAATATTTGTGTGTCCAGCTTTAAAAAGAACTTGGATGACACTTGTTGCTTTGTAGGTTGTGACGCTGCATTCAAGTGCAGAGTGGGAAGAACAGGAAAAACTCCTCTTTTTCCCATCTTGGGAGTGTTTAAGCCAATTCCAAGATGTTTTTTGTTGCATCATTTAAAATCTAACTGAAATGAATTAGTTGTTGTGTGCTATTGCACAAATATCTGCTCTCTGAATCACACGTCCTGTGTTCTTCTGTGGGGAAAAAATCAGAAACCAAAAGTGGGAAATTTATATTTATTTTTTGGTTTTGTAATGGAACCCACAAGTTTTGCATTCATTTGATGGCCCGGCATCCGTCTATGTAGATATAGTCCTCATTTACACACAGCTAGTCAAATCTTAAAGCCGTGACATCAGCGTTCTATTACAGGCCGAGCGGAGCCACATTCACTGTCCCAAACAGGACCGCATCTCGTCCTGCACTGCAGCTTGTTGAACGAGCCAACAGACATTCACTGGGGCAAAAGTGCCCCGCTAATGGCAGTTTGCAGGCAAGGCGGCTGATAGCTGCTCAGCACATTAAACTGCACGTGTAAAAACCCCCAAAACCAAAACCTGCCATACAGTGAAACTGCCAGAAGCCCACCACACGGCCCAGCACTGCCCTTGCTGTGACGGTTGCTGTGTGTGTTTGTGTGTGCTAACCCCTCACTGCAGACGACCGTTGGCTTTCTCCCCGTCAGCAGTAAGACAGCGGAGCAGGCCACCATCTCCCTCCTGTTGAACCGCTGCTCCGACTGTTTCCGGTTGGTCCAGCGGCCAGTTCTCCTTGGAAGCTCGTGCCACGGGCCTGCTCGCAGTGAGTTAACGGCCCAAGGGCTGGTGCATGTCCACAGCACACACACACACACACACACACCGCACCGACGGTCATTTTGTTCCTGGCTGCTCAGCACTGACCACACACACACACACACACACACACACACACACACAGCAACAGTCAGAGCTGAGCTGAACGGCTCCGCCCCCTGTGTGGTTTTGTGTGTGTGATTGCGCGGTGGGGTTGGGGAGTGTACGTCGGTCTGTTAGAGGAGATAAAAAGTGTGCAGTCATGTTTTTGTTTTGGCTGTGCTCGGTGTGAAGCCAGCCATGCCAGCGGAGCCTCTCCGCAGTGAGTCAGCGTGTGTTAAAGGGCGACAGCGCGTAGTGAAATACCTCACTACCAGTTACTCCTCTGCAGTCCGCTTATTTTTAGAGGCTGCTCAACCGGCTGGAAGCAGCCCGTCACTCTCTCTCGCCGTCTGTAGCTCTCTTTGTCATCAGACGTACGTTTCAGCAAATCGGAAAATGGCGCACGCCGTGTACGTCCAATCAACGATGATTGAAGCTGTGTACCTCGGCGGCGTTTTAAAGGCAGCGTCCTGCTGTCATATTCCGTGTGGGCCAGTATTGACAGTGGTTGTATTGAGCTCTAGTTTCAGGAAGAAGCCTGTGTTGTTGCCCTCAGGTTTTTGTGAAGGTACCTTTGGTCTCATGGTGCAGGTTTAAAGATCGGCCAGGTGTAATTACTGTACTCAGCAGTACATTAACGTCACGGGGAAACGTCAGGCTCTAGACTGAATGAAGACAACTTGTTTAACTGAGACGTGTATTGTTTTTCAGAGCTAGGGTCTGTAGATTTCCCCCATTCACACTGCCATACTTAATCTAGATCATTGTTCATTGTGATTGTTACCACAGAAACCAAACCGAGTGATTCATGTATTACTTTCTATTCTTTTACTATTGATTTGCCATTCCTTCCTTATCTTATACTGTTAATGCACTTAAGAAAACATGTTAAAGCATTTTGTTTGTTTTTGTTCTGGATTGTGTTGACATTCTGAACAGCATACTTATTTTCTCTCTCTTTCTAGTACATGGGAACGCTAGACAACTTCTGTTCCCAAAGTTTGAGTTTCACTGGATAGCTGCTCTGGATTCAACCTGATTTACTCCTATTGTAATGTTCAGAACACTTGTGTGGATGCAGACACTAAAACAAAAGCAGATAATCACTAGAACAACCAATGGCATTCAACCAGGGGCTCAACAACCACTGCAGAGTCCAGTCTTTGTCCACTTATTCTCACTGTTGGAGGTCTTGACTATTGGAACTTCATGTTTGGTCCATAAAATGTCAGAAAATGGTGAAAAATGTTGATCACTGCTTGCAAAGCGCAAGGTGATGTCCTCGAATGTCTTCTTTTGTCCACAACACAAAGTTAAAAAAGGCAAATAAAATATTCCCATTTGAGAACCTGAAGTCTGAGAATTTGGACACTTCTTCATAAAAAGTGACAACTAATGGATGCATGAATAATCACTGCAGCTGTTCCTGCCAAAAATCCAAAGTAGATGTCAGTTGTAGTAACACGAGTTCTGTTGCATCACTTGGGAATACATGCTGGGGAAAATGAGTGGCTGCTGTTACTGTGACACTTTGATATTTAGTTCATTTCTGTCTCTTATTGTTTCTCTTCTTCCACTTCTACCCGTCCTGCACGTTTCCTTTCTTGTCTTTACTCTCCTGTGTTTTTCTCTTTTCTATTCTCTTTCCCCCTCGCATTGGCTTCCTGACTTTCTAACACTATTCTTCCCCTCCTTCCTCCCCCCCCCCTCCCGTCTCTTTCCTCCCTCATCCTGTGTGGAGTAGAGGTCGTGGTGGAGTTCGAGTACGACGCGCTCCACGATGACGAGCTGACCCTGCGGCTGGGCGACATCATCAAGAACGTGCGGTACATAGAGGAGGATGGCTGGATGGAGGGGGACCTCAACGGGAAAAGGGGCCTGTTCCCTGACAACTTTGTTAAGGTGAGAGGAAAAATGTTGAGTTCTAATAGAGTTAACTTGTGCAGAGCTGAGCGTGCACTTCCTCTGAGGTTTGAAATGCGTTTGTGTGCTGTTCCATTAGCGGCGAGAGGGCTGGGCACAGGCTGCAGCAGACGTGCTCACTGATTTCCACACCCACATCCGAGAGGGCTGTATGCTTGGTTGAGAAGAAATGGGTTCTTTGTTGAAGCATTTGAATATTTCTGAAGACAAAATGAGCAGGTGTTAGGATTTACAGCACGGTGATGACTGGATTTTTCAACCGATTTAAAAGCAGCACAGAATGAACCTCTTGGCCTACACGGAGCTGAAGTCCAGTTTGAATCCTCTTGGTTCCTGCAGTACAGGCTTAATTCACTTATCAGGAACCTTTTGGCTGTTTCGATTGTTTGCCTGGCCCAGCTCCAACGAGCCTGTTGTCACCACCTACAAGGGCAACACACATTCACTCATAGATGAGAACATAGATGAGAACTGGCTACATTCTGTAAACTGTGAATTTCACATCCAGCACAGTTTAAAGGACTGATTCAGTGACTTCAGGTGTCTCTGCCCGTCTCCAGGTGGCTAGCTGGCTCCGGCTCTCGCGGTGCAATTAACATTCGCATCTCCAAGAGGAATAAACTCTGCTCCCTGATCTGAGCTCAGTTTGTGTTTGTGTGTCTCTGGTTATGCAAGGTGAAGCCAAGGGAGTCAACAGTGCGGAGATTCGTCTGTGTTGAGAGTAGCTAATGTTAGCTAGCTAGCGATCTGCAGATATCAGGCTGATGTCTTGTCAGGAAACACAAACAGCAATATCAGATTTCTGCTCCATCTGTGCTGAGACTGATTATTAAAGTGGATGTCTGTGCTTAGTTAAAGCATCTGCTACTGACAGTCCATGTCTGCACGGGCTAACCTGTAATTTTAACCATGCCCAACAATGACTCGTGGGTGTTACCAGTCTTTTTTTATTCTTGCTCAACTGTCTCGCACATAAAGATCTAAAAAATCCGATGTCACGGTCTAATCTATTCATAGTGCGCTTTTAAAAAGTGCTGAGCTAAAAGACCATCACAAGACAAAAGAACTTTAAATAGATGGATAAATATATAATGAGTGTACTGCACAGGAATACAGACATTCCTCAATGCAGAATGAAACTCAGGTAAAGAATCCTTGCAGGGTTAGGCAAGAGAGAGAAAGTGGTAGCCTTTTGAGAGTCTAACATTCTGCTGATATGTTTTCAGGGGGACTATAAAAGCCCTTGATCTGTAGATCTAAGGGGCCTTGTGTCCCCTTTTTTTCTGTCTGCAGCACTGCGGTACATTTCAGTACTGTTTATCATGCTGCGTTTAGCAGAAAACAATCATTAAAAATCCTAATTTGTATCCAAGTTTGAAAACAAATTGTTTTTGAATTGTTTTGGCCATATTGAGGAAACCTAACTCAGCAGTGTTCATTCTTAAAAATGTTTCATCACGACGAGTTCCCAGTGTTTTGTGACCAGCGAAGTGTATGAAAGGGGCGGTAAAATGATTGTATTCTTACATTTAAGACTCCACTTTGTGATTGCTCCTGCAAAATTTCACCAAAGTTGATTTACTTTGCACCCTTTAGTGAATCTACTAACATGACGTTTCCATTGAAATCAGTTGAATTCAGAGTAAAGGTGTTGTGAATGGGCTTAGGTGCTTAACATTCTACAGGTTTTTATTTGAAGGGCTGTGAAAATTCCATTTTAAATCCAATTTGAAGACTCCGTTTGCGGCTAATAACCATGTAGCTGTAGACCAGTACATCCACAGTGTGTGCTTTTGGTGGAACTGAGTCACAGTCATCTCTTGTTATGACTTGGTGGAACACTTACGGCACCTGAGTGCTCTACTGTGAAATTTGCCTTTTCTGTGCGAGATATTTACCCAGCTAATGCACTGTGAAATGAGTCCCGACAGTGCAGCTGGCTCCTCTTCTCCCTCGCCTTCTTTCTTCACTCCTCACTCCATAATCCTGCGCAGTGAGATAGGTAATCAGCTGAGCAGCCTGGCCCAGTCACCGAGCTTGGATAGTTAATCCTCTAAGGAGCCTGCTGGCTGTTGAACTTTGCCCCCGACAGCGCTACTGTCGTCTGAGATGTTGCCTTCTTCTTCCCTTTTAATTGGGGTTGTAGCTGAATGATCGAGGGACAGGAAACTTGCCTGGGAGGGAGATGGTAAGGAATTTAAGAGTGCTTCATCATGGTTAGTTGTGAATGTCTCATTGTAATATCCTTAAAATGAATGTAATGAGTGGAAGGTCATCTTGAAGAAAGGAACGTCTAAGTTTTTGCTTATGCTGGTCCAAGTGCTTCTGGGTGTGTAGGACTTTAATGTGACTACGTGTACGTGACAGATTAGATGAATACCTTTTTTAATGATGATGATAAAGCTATATAATATACCTATTAAATTAAAGAACACATTTGGGCTCCAAAATAAAGTGCCTTAAAATGTCAATGTATAAACAAGGGGTGAGAACTGCACCTCCGAGTCCTTCTGTCCAAAACCAACAGACAGACAGTTGCAGTGTGCATGATAATGAAACCACACAACTGCCAAGCTGATACTTGTGTCACCATGGAGATCTTCCAGCCCGAGTACTTGAGTCCACGCGTTGAGAGAATGCGTATCTAGAGATTGAAAAATCCTGGAACACTCGCTATAGACTCGCAGCCATTAGCCTCTTCAGTAAAGAGCACTGTGCCATTGTGTTGGCCAAGTTCTCTACTTCTACTTTAACAAAAGAACACGCATAAACAATGCATGTGCAATCTAATTAACACCCAGTGAGTGGAAAAACAGTTTGTAGGTTTGCGCGTGTGTATGTTGGGATGTGTGATCTCGCCTTTTTAAGCTCTCGAAATGCGCTGCTTCACACTCTTCAGCAGTGTCAATGAGGTACACACAGACACCTGAGAGGGGTGGGAGTCCTTCTCGAGTGTTCACATTTATCTTCTCTCTCTCTCTTCAGTTTTCTATTTTCTGTCTCTGCTGTCTGAAGCTGTTCATTTTAGTCTGTCTCTGCCTGGGATTGTTTGTCTTTCTCTTATTCTGTTGCCTTTCCTCTCATCTCTCTGTCTCAGTGCCTGGTACACACACACACACAC